ATCATCATCATCATCGTTCGAGTCATCTGATGGTCGTGCTGGACTGTATCATGTTGGCTCATCACTTCTGGTATCTGATACCAACACCTCCAATGAATCTACATCCANAACTCATCCATTCTTCTGGCACGAAAACACGCAGTTGCTCATCATCATCATCATCGTTCGAGTCATCTGATGGTCGTGCTGGACTGTATCATGTTGGCTCATCACTTCTGGTATCTGATACCAACACCTCCAATGAATCTACATCCATAGGTTGATGTTTTTCTGAGATGCTCACCGATGTCTCGGGCACCGTAAAATTGTCTTCAGCTGGCTTTGGAATCTCTGATGACTCATCAATGATCAGAATATCCTCCTCAGGACTCTTCGGTGAGTCGGGAATATTTAAAATACCCTTCTCTGCTGGTGCGGGACTCTCCGGTGAGTCGGGAATATTCAAAATCCCCTTCTCTGCTGGTTCGGGACTCTCCGGTGAGTCGGGAATATTCAAAATACCCTTCTCTGCTGGTGCGGGGCTCTCTGGTGAATCGAGAATATTCAAAATACTCTTCTCTGCTGGCTCGGGACTCTCTGGTGAGTCGGGAATGCTGATAACATCCTCCTCTGCTGGCTCAGGACTCTCTGGTGAGTCGGGAATGCTGATAATATCCTCCTCTGCTGGCTCAGGGCTCTCTGGTGAGTCGGGAATGCTGATAATATCCTCCTCTGCTGGCTTGGGACTCTCCGGTGAGTCGGGAATGCTGATAACATCCTCCTCTGCTGGCTCTGGTGAGTCGGGAATATTGTCAACTTTCTCCTCGACAGAGTTAATATTATCAGATGGCATGTCAATAGCCACAGGTTTTTCGATTTACACATCAGTTGTTGAGTCTGGAACAATTGTTGATTGTGATGTGTCCAAAAGCAATGGAGTAGAACTTCCAGATGAAACATTCACAGGTAAGTCCCCATCTGATGTCTCCTTCTGGTCCGATGCCTCCCCATCTGATGTCTCTACTTCGGAGGTGCCCTCAGGATCTCCGGCCTCAGATGAAGTTGCAGAAAAATCCACCACACCAGGCACAAACTCCTCATCAGTTAAACTATCGTACTCATTTTCTGAATTGGAAGAGTGCACTGATCCCATCACTCTCAATGGCACATCTCTTTTCATTTTTTCAGAACTCCTCACGTTATCCACAAAATTACGAATTGTAATTATCTCCAAAGTCGAAACTTGCTCAGTTGGCGATCCACCAACACTAGACATAGCAGTAGAGCTCTTCACACTTGACTCACTGAATCTAAAATGTCCTGCACTGTGCGAGCATGGGGTTTATAAAACTGACTGACGAGGTCTTCATAACGAAAGCGTCATCTTCGGGTTGACTCCCCCCATCTGATTATTCATACTTTTTTAATCGAGGGGTAGGGAGACTTCGGATAAAAACCGAAGAACATACTAGCCTACCGAGGGAGACGTTGGTATTACCCCTGCTCTCAAACGCCATTTTGTTCAACGGTTATTGCATCATGCCACGAAATATAAACCAGACTTTGAAGAAACGTCATCATCGTATCGTAACGGTTATTGGATTAATATTATGAATACGTGACCATTTGATCTTACCGAACCTCCAGACAAATTTTTTCTTCCGAAGACTCCAACGGAAAAATAATTCGCGAAATTTCACAGACTCTTGTTGATGCGAGGGCATTCAATGAAAACTGTTACTGTGCTAACACCAACGAAATTGTCCAGCTATGTTTGACATCTCTCCCTGGAATCTCGAGAGCAGATCATGTAATTTGTCCAGACAATAACAAAATTATTGAAGTAACATTTCCAAGACAGTATGCAGACACCAAGTCCACTACCTCTCATGCTAAAAACCAGGGAGGGGCGGTGATGATGAAACAAGAAGACCGAGCAAAGTTCTCAGTTACTTTGACAATTGAATCATAGCAACATGTCGGTGGTTATTGATATCGAGGGTTTCAAAGATTTTGGCAACCAGTTTGTCTTAAAAGAATTTGCAGTATCAGCATTGGAGCTTGATGATGATGAAAAATTTCTTTATGAGTCAGTTTCGGTGGATCCACCCCACAAATGGAAGGATTTATTGCTTAAATATCGGGAAATAAATCAGTGGTTGTCCCGTCATTATCATGGGCTACATTGCCATACTCCTGGAGAAATTGAGTATGATAGAGTGAGTGAGTTTATCAATGCAATGGTGAAGGATGTTAAACACATCTACGTTCAAGGTCTGGAGAAGAAGCTCTGTAATCAAGATTTTTTCAAACATATCAATGTAATCTTTCATGAGATTTTTTTTTCAAAGGAATCAATGTAATCTTCATAAATAAACAACAATTATTGGAGAATGGATTTTTTATTTATCATCACCAGTATTATTATTATTAGGACATTTTGCTTTCAAAGTATTGAACATTATATTCACTCCGAGTTTTAATTCATTGAGGATGCCCAGCATTGGTGTAGCTGGAGTGTCCTCCGTGAGATGTGGTCCTCTCTTCCTCATCAATCCGCTGCTGGTTGATGGCTCGCACCAGGAGCTAGCCCATCGGTC